TCCTCATGAATAGTGGTAGTTTAGTTGTTGTTGTTTGCTTGTTCGGTTTTGTTTTTGGTTTCTGTGGGACCGCACACATAAATTTCAAAGTGTCATTGAAAATTAATTTACATATACATATATTGAAGCTAGATGTGGAGCTGGGGATGTAACTCAGAGGTAGAACATTTGCTGAGCATATGCTAGGTCCTGCGTTCAATTCCCAGCACTGGAGGGAAGGAAAGAAGGAAGGGAGGGAGGGAGAAAGGAAGGAAGCAAGCAAAGCAAGGAAATTTTAGGGTTGCAAACATATATTGAAGCTAGATGGAATCAGATAATTGGGAAATGGGAATGGTGTATTAACCAAAAGAGTATTGTTATTGGCACAAAGTGAACACTCCATTAGTCAAAATTTCATAATTCTGCTGGTTTGAGAGTTGAGGCATACTTTACTATATACTTTCATCTCTTCTTTTAGTTCCTCTTTTCATTTATTTAAAAGCACCAAAATCATTAAATAGTGTTGGCTTGTTCTAGATAAGATTCCCACATGTTTTAGATTATCTGTTAAATGGCATTCAGAAGCACATGAAATTAACGGCTTCCTACATAATTCCCAATGTTTTATATTTTTTAAAAATGAAATAAACAATTTAAAAGAACCCTGTCCCACCCGTCCTTACCTCCAACTTCTTTTATAGACAATCTTCTTTATCATGGTTTTGATTGATGTGGAAAATGTGTATAGTTTGTGTGACCAATTGAAATTTATAAACCTGGAGGGAAATTTCTTAAAGTAAGTAAGTAAATAAATAAATAAATAAATAAAACCTGATGGTGAGAAGAGTTTATCTGAGAACTCACATCCTAGGATACAAAATCCGTGTTCAACATCATTATGACTGGAATGTGATCAAATGAAAACAAATCTCTAAAGGATCCCCATGATCCAGATGCAGCCAGAGTATTTTTAGTTCTGCTCTCCTTCAACTCAATATACCTAGATTTGGGTGAGGGGAACTCCTCCTTATACCCAGAGGACCTTACAGTCTGGGATTCTTGTTCAATGCTTGCTCAAGTCCAAAGTACATGCCATTCCAAAAATATAACTGTATAATTATAATACCTATGTATCTGTCTATCCTTCTGCTTGTCTATGCCCTGGGGAAAGACATACCATCCTATTCCCCCTCAAAATTAGTGTCAGAATTTGATAGATATGTGCAAATTGTGTGTCCTCATTCTGAACCAGACTTGGCATCACTAATATTTATTGAACCCCTGTGTACAATTTTTCTCATCTGATTCTTGCTGTGGTACTGGAGTTCCTCTCTATTGCCTTAGTGGAAGTTTAAGGTTTGGGGAACCTTGAGAGGTTTAGTAACTCTCCCAGAGCCCCATCCTAAACATCAGAGCTGAGACCCAGAGCCAAGCACATCCACTCACAGAGATTATAAGAGGAAGTGTATGGGCATGGCTGGGGCCAAGACAGCTGTAACAGCTGCTGGAAGCTGGAGTGATATGCTTTCCAGTTTGCTGAAGGAACCAAAGGCAATATTTGCCTGTTATTACACAGTTAAGATGCTTATTGCCAATATGCTATCTATATTATTTCATTTTAAACAAATATGAACAAATCAGATAAAACATTGTCCTCAGGTAGGGTAAGGCATGGTGTTCACCTCTAAGCAAGAGACACTGACTCCCTGATGGTTCACTTAAAGATATATTTAAGTCTTAATGAGACTAGGTCGCTTTGAGTGACAATCTCCAACAAAATAATGGCATAGCTGCAAAAAGGCACATAGATCATTTTGATGTAAAACCTCTCATCCAGAGCAAATTGAAAATTCATACACCTTGCTCCGGCTCCCCAAAAGCAGAGTCACTGTTTGCAGAGTGGAGTGATGCAGTTACATCAATGTTCATAGCAGCTCAATTCACAATGACAATTCAGGTAAGCTCAGATAGACCCACATTTGTGAATTCTGTGAGGTCATAACTACCTTGTAGAAAGAAAGGCAATTCTTCCAAATAAATCTGATTCATTAAATGTAGGTCACATTTTAAAATAAATTTAAATGTTCATTATAGACTTGTCTATAATTAAAAGTTATTTTCATATTTACATTGCTAATATCCACTAGACTATGGATAACAACCTGAACTCATTTGTTATTTATACTCACTATGACGTTAGAAATAACTTCTCTCAATTATACATTTGCCTGTGGGTTTTCATGATGGTATGATGCACATGTTTACATACACGGATATTTTCTTCTAGTACTTCTAAAGTTTCATGTTTTTAATATTGGAAATTTTAAACTGTCCCACATTAAATTTTGGTTAAGGGTGTGCACTAGGGATCTAATGCTATTTTTGCTGAAGTATTAGAACATTGTCTTAAATCCCTTCTATAAATAGACTCTCCTTTCATCATTTATTTGAAATACCATTTTCATAAAACACTAAATTAGCTTATCTATTTTGGTCCATTTTAGGACTATCTAGTCTTTTTTTTTAGAAAGACTGATTTTTTTATTAGAGATAGTAGTTGTACATAGTAGTTGGGTTCGTTTTGACAAAAATCAAACATGCATGGAACTTGATTTACTCCATTTCAGTCTCCATTCTCCATCCCTTTCCCTCCCCTACTCTCCCCCCCACTCTCCCCCCTGTTCTCCAACCCTACCGATCCTCCTAGCACTTGTGTTTGTTTGTTTGTTTGTTTTTAATTGGTATTTTCTACATATACATAAAGGTGAAATTCCCTGTAGTATATTTATATATGGAACATAGCATGATTTTGTTAAATTCATTCCACATTTCCCCCACTTTCCTATCTATCCCTCTTCTCTCCTTCTTGATCTTCTTCTATTCCACTGATCTTCCCTATACCTTTGTGATATCCAACCCCTACACACACTTTTTCCCCTATTTTGCTCTAGCTTTTCTATATAATAGAAAACATTCCACCCTTAATTTTCTGAATATGCCTTATTTAGCTTATCTTTATTTGTTTGCTTATTCTCCCTTTCCATCCATTTACCAGTAAATGCCAAAATTTCATTTTTCTTTATGGCTGAGTATATATACCACATACAACCACTCTGGGAAGCAGTATGGAGATTCCTCAGAAAACTTGGAATAGAACCACCATTTGACCCAGTTTTCCCACTCCTTGTTATAATATACTCAAGGACTTAAAATCAGCATACTACAGTGATGCAGTTACATCAATGTTCATAGCAGCTCAATTCACAATGATAATGCAATAGAACCATACTAAGTGCCCTTCAACAGATGAATGGATAAAGAAAATGTTGTGTATATACAAAATGGAATATTACTGATCCATAAAGAAGGTTGAAATTATAGCATGTGCTGGTAAATGGTTATAACGGGTAACTATCAGGCTAAACAAAATAAGCCAGTCCCAAAAAACCAAATCCACATATCTCTCTGATATGTGGATGCTTCACATAACAAGAGGAAGGAAAGAACAGAAGTTCATTTAAAGGGGAATGAAGGGAAGGGAGGCAATAGGGATAAAATAATAGAATGAACTCGACATAACTTTCCAAAATGTTCATTTATGAATACATGACCAGTGAAACTGCACATCATGTACAACAATAAGAATGGGATCCTAATTAGAATAAGTTATACTCTATCTATGTATGTATAATATGTCAAAATATACTCTACTGTCATATATACCTAAAAAGAACAAATTTTTAAAAAATTTTAAAAAGAACTATTCTTATTCCTTTATCTTTCTGTCTATCCTCACGCTGGTACTATACTAATGTATTAATTATACTATTTTTATTTGAATATATATTTAAAAGTACAAAATCATAAGGGTACAGCCTGGTAGGTTTTTATGGACTGAGCACACCTGGGACACCAACTCCCATATCAGAAACCAAACATTTCCAGCTCCAGAGCTGTCATCAGCCTCTCTCCCAATCCCTCTCTGGTGTCTCACCCCTACCACACACAGGGGGACCACTCTGACTTCCAACAACTGAGGGCAGTTTTGCCTGTATTTTTTCTTTATAAGAATGAAATCATGTAGCAGTAATCAAGCTATTTTCATTATAATTTATAGTCATTTTCTTACTTTCTCTTGGTTATCCATGTATTTCACAATGACAATGTGAACCTTGTCTGTACCTTCCAGGAAGTGAATATTGGTCATCTTCTCGGGACCTCATGATATGGTCCCAAATCCACTAACATCTTTTTCACTTTTATAAACATATTTATTTTGCTCATTTGTTCAGTTCAGGCTTATGGAAAAGACAGAAAGAAGAATGTAAAGTAAATCACAGTCTAACTCATTTTACACTGAGGGACAGTCCCGTGAAAGTTAACATCTGATCAGAAGAAGGATTCTTAACAACCAACCTGGGAAGTCACCCACTCCCGGTGCTTTGTGGCCCTGCCATTGACACCCTCGTCCACCAGTCCTCAGTGGGGCAGCTGAGAAGCACTTCCCATTCTTATACAACTCCTCTGATAAAGGCCTTTGTCCTTTATGAATTTTTAAAATATTTGAACAAAAGAAAGTAATGTATCTCAACCCATCTGCTAAGTGTTTAACATGAATGATTATACTGATGCTACATTGTTTGCTTAATATTTTCCCTACCATAGGCATAGATTGCCCATGTTTCTAAGTTTTCATACCTAAGGTTTCCATATTCAAACCCACAGAATCACACTAAGTTTACTCATGCTAGAACCCCTCATCAAAAAGATTGCAATTTCACTCTGACATTTAATTTTTCTCTGGGACAACAGACAAAAATGAAGATTAAACTTTTGTAACAAAAATACATATCCCAATTTTTCTGGTCTGCTACTTTTCTTTAGTTTTGTCTAATAACCTGGGATTATATCTCCAAAATCGAAATGGAATGTTACATTATAACTAACAGTTTGTGCTTGGAGATACTGTCCTAAATCTTGGAATTGGAAAGAATAGCTTTCAGATCTCATGCCCAACTCACCTTGTGTGAAGATAAAAAGTTGATCAACACCATACTGTTACATCTTTGAGTCCTTGCCAGAGATGTTCTTTCTGCTTTGAACACCCAGAGCACATTCGATAGGATGGCTTCAACCGGGTTTTGAATCTGTACTCTGCCACTCATCACTGTGCAACCCTCAGATTCCTGTGAGGTAGAGAAGAAAACAGCATCCACGTTGCACACTTGCTGTATGGATTAAATGAGGTGATGATGTAGAGCACTTGGGAAAGTGCTTAGCAAGCATGCGCTCAATAGTTCTTAGCTATTGACATCATAATCATGTACATCATTCCATTAGATAATGCCACTCATCTCTAGCACCCAGAACTTGCCTTCCTCTTAGCATTTATCCCCTAGTCTTAACTGGCTTACTCATCTATTCCAAATATCCACAAAGGCAGACTTGGTGTCATTTGATTTTTTTTTTAATTTCTAGTGCCCAAAACTCTGTCTTGCTCATAATAAGCATTTTCATTAAGTACAATTCCAGAAGAGAAGGGCTGGTGTGGTGTAATCCCAGTTGCTTGGAGACTGAGGCAGGAGGATTGCAAGTTCGAAGCCAGTCTCAGCAACTTAGTGAGTTCCTGACTCAAAATTAAAAATATAAAGAGCTGGGGAATAGCTCAATGGCAAAGTAGACCTGGGTTCAATTCCCAATACCACAAGAAGGAGGAGGAGGAGAAAAGGAACAAAGGAAGGAGGAAGGGAATTAAAACACCAATGACCACCTATACACATCTCCTGGAGCAGCAGGTTCATAATCCAGCAGGAAGGGAGGTTCTGGGAACAGATAAATCTGTTTCAGGCACTATTGGTATGAACCACAATATTCATTGGAATCTTATTATGATTACAAACCAAAGTGGATCACTAAGGAAAAGAAATACATTTTCAATGAGGATGTACAGTCTCATAAAACTGGAAAGCATCACAATGTCATCATCATCATAACTGACCTAAATGTCATTGTGATTTAAGTCCATGTGAACTCCATGGAAAACAGAGATTATGAACTCACCGAGTAGAAAAAGTAGAATAATAACCATCCAAGACTGACTTAAGGAAAAATTTATGTGCCTAACTAAATTTGAATATAAAGGTAACATGTGAGGGAAAAGAGAAGACAATGTGAAAAAACTAAACCATTTTCATTCAAAGAGCATTGTTCGAATCTAAGCACTAATTCACAAGCTCCCAATCATCTGCATGATTGTATTTGAAGAAGATTATGGTGGCAATCCTGGTCTGCCCCTTAGCCAGATTGTAGGTTCTCAATAATCAGAATGACAGGGGAAATCTAAACAAAGAAGACAAAGCATTCAAGTTCTGAGGCACAGGTGAACATTATACCTCAGGGCCACCCCCAAATCACTAGGAATTATCACTGGTCTCCCACAGCTTCTCTCCCTGTCATTAACCCTGGGTAGACATTAGACAAGACTTTGAGGAACACAGTGGTCGGGAGACAAAGAAACATACTAGTTAAGTCTTCACACATACAGCAAAATGAACCAGAAGGGTCCTTCGATTCAGAAACACCCTGTTCCTCTGGGTCCTCTGCCATCTGTGAGACTTTCTTCTTCCCCTGGTTCTGTCACCTCCCAACCTCAAGGTTACTCCCCCTCAATCTCACCTTGGACTTAGTCTTTATCTATCATAGTTCATGTCTCTTTTTTATTTACCTTCTTAATTATAAAATATTTCAAACATATATAAAATCAAAGAGATTATTTAGTAAACCCCATGGACCCATCACCAGGTTCATCTATATCACTCAACCAGTTGCTGTGTTTTCTTTAGTTTGAGTATGTTAAATGAAATCCCAAGCAGCATATTTTGCCTGTAAATAAGTTTGGTCTGCCCACTGTGCATGTCCAATGCGAGAACACCACTGCTCAACCCAAGGGAACACCATTCAATGCACTGCGCACCCCAAGTGACCATATATGGCAGTCACGTATAGCACGCACCATAGAGCAGAGGTCCATGAACTTTTTCTTTAAATGCCAGATATTAAATATGTTCGGTTTTGTGGGACATACAGACTCTGTAGCAGTGACTCCAGTGTGCTGTTGTAGCACAAAAACAGCCACGGAAAATAAGTAAACAAGTGAGCATAGCTATGTTCCATTTTTATTTATAAATAAAATAAACGGTTGCTGAAGAAAAAGTAAGCAAGTTACACTCATTTGTTGACACTCCCCCTAACCCCCTAGGCTGGCACATAGGAATGGTCCCAAAAAAGACAGTCAATGTGAGAACTGACTATGTCTGAAAAAGGATTCTTGAATGACATATACTCTAAGCTCCAAGGCAGAAGGAATTTCAAGACCTCCAGTCTAACAGTATAGGACTCAGAGAGGATTGTCTCAGCTTCTAGGCCATCCTCAATTTTGTACCCACGAAAATTCTTGCTCGACATCCTGCCTTGCCCTACACACACACACACACACACACACACACACTGTACCTGAGTTCATATAATGGAGGCCCTATAACTGATCACAACTGAGAACCCAGTCTGAACCCCTGGTTCTCTTAAAAGTTCTCAACCCTATAAGGGACTGGTGTACTGACCTGTGCCCAGGTCTACTACTGCTGATGGGTGCTCATTGATGCCTGCTGGCCTGACTCAGATCTCAGGCAGCGGTTAGCACCCTGTGCTAAGAGAAATCCCTAACCCTTCCTACCTGTGATCTGTACCTTCAATCTCTCCTTCTTCCTTCCTATTACCTCTTTCTTTTATACATCTAAATGTCTCCCATCTTAAAATAATCTCCTCTCGGCCCTAACCATCACAACCAAAACCCTTAAAAGTCTTGTCACTTCCTGTTTCCACTTCCCAGTGTAATCCAAAATCTGCCTGCCTTACTCCACTAAAATGTATCAAGCCTCTAACAACTTCCCTATTGCTAAACCAAATACATACTTGTTAGTCCTTTAATTTCTTGACCTTGGTGGCCCCTGACGGTGTTGGGTCATTGTTATGGTTTGGACATGAGGTGTCCTCCAAAAGCTCTTATGTCAATGCAGGAATATTTGGAGATGAAACGACTGGATCATGAGAGTCATTACCTCATCAGTCCGTCCTAGTTGGAATGGACTTAACTGGGTAGTAACTGTAGGCAGCTGGAGCGCGGCTGAAGGAGGTGACATGCCCTGAAAGGGTTCATCTTCCCAGCTGCCCCCTTCCCCTTCTCTCTCTGCTTTCTGGTTGCCATGAACAGAAGAGCTCTCCTTCATCTTGCCTTTCCTCCTGAGGTTCTTCTACATCTCAGGCCCAGAGTAATGGAGTCATCTGGCCATGGACTGAACCTCTGAAACTGTGAGCCAAAATAAACTTTTTCTCCTCTGAGTTGCTCTTGTCAGGTATTTTGGTCACAGCAAGGAAAAGCTACTGACACAATCATTCATCTTCAAGTGGTCTTTTTTGGGCTTCTTGCCCGTGCCCCCAACCAGTCCTTTACAGTCTTTAAATGAGCTCTCTTCCCTCTGTGCCCCACTCCTTCCCCACACACAAGCCTCAAATGTGAACACTCCCTAGAGCTTGAACACATTCCTCCTATCTTCCCCTCATTCTCTCAAAAGTGATCTATATTGTTGACTCTTTCTAAATCTCCTCCAAAAGTCATCTCAATTGGTGACTCCTCCTAAATCTTCAACTCCAGCCCAGTCTTGAGTTTCAGATTAAAATACCAAACAGCTCTAAAATTATTTGTTTCCAACTAAACGTCTGGAAAAAAACCTCAAATTCAAATGATCTCATCATCTTGCCCCCCCAATCTGCTCCTCTCTCTGAGTTCTCTGGTCAACATTTTTCAGACCATGTTCTACAGAACACCTGTCTCTCAAGGTGGGTCATGAATTCAAATGATTCAAATAGGCTTGGAAACACTCTCTTGAAGATTTTCAAAGAATTATACTACTCAAGACCTAAAAATTAGTTACTATTGTACTTCCCAAACACTTTCCTCCACAGAATACTTTTATTTCAACAAGTCCTGGTTGTATCCAATTCAGCCAGTGGCTATTCCACAGAGCACATTGTAAAATCCCCCACTCTATCCCATCAAATGTCATCATTCTCTCCCCGGTTGCCCAAACTGGAATCCAGAACCCAGACTTTAGTCCTCCCTCCTCAGCACCCAGCATCCTTGGTTCTCTTAACTTTGCCTCCTTTGAATCTCTCCAACACATCTTCCTCTTAATCTCCCAGGCCACTGCCTTACTGGCCATCATCATTGTTGGCCAGAAAGACTGCAACTCATTGATAACTCATCTCCCTATCAACTGTCTTTCTCACCTCAATTGATTTTCCATGAGGCAAAATGATCTTTCTAGAAAAATCTGATCACAACACCATGATATCTTAAATACTTCACTGATTGTTCCAAGTGCCATTTGTGATCTGGCTTTGTCTAACTCTCTGGTCTCATTTCTTGCTGCTCTTCCCTCCTATATCTGCTCCCATCTCTAAACTCTTGCCATACTAATGAACTTACAATCTCACGTTGGTGCATCCTCTCCTACATTTAACATATCTTGTTCCCTATGCTTCAAATGACCTCTCTTCTTCTCCCTTCTTCTTTTCTACTCTTCCTCAGCTCACCTCCTCTGTGAAAACTTTCATGAATCATTCTGCCCTCACAATTTAAGCTAGATGCTATTCCCATATACCTGAAACATTTCTAGGACCTCATTACTGTTCTATGACTTTGATTATTTGTCTTCCCAAAAGACAAAGACATTTATTAAGGTAGGAAATATTTATTTTCCAACTTTTAGTGTACAGCATAGTATTTGTTAAATAAATTAATTAGACCTAGCCAGTTCCTATAGCTTGCAGAACTACTTGCTGTTACCTGTAACTATACCACCAAACAGGATACTCTGCCAGCATCTTCAGTCAGGTATTACCTGGGTACCAGAAGGTGGGTCCCATTCAAACTCCTGTTCTGCCTACCTCTCCCTGTCTAAGTTTAATAACCCAAAATATAATACAAGATATTGCATTCACTTCCAACCTAATGCCTTCCAAAATAATAATAATTCACATTGGCAACCAATCCTTGGGAAAATTGATGGAAGACAAGCTTGATTGTAGGATTTCTCTGGTTATGTTTCCTACCACTTAAATGCCTGGC